AAACAACGATAAGAGTGTGCACGACACCAACCCGCATGATTTCAAAGAGCATTTTGAGTTTGCTCATGCGATTGATGTAGCTATGGGGAATAATTGCCCCACTACTAAGTGGCGTTATTGGAAAGATGTGCTTGGGAATTTGAAGAAGGCTGTGATGGATGAACTATTAGTAAGTATATTATTGATGGATCAATAATGAAGTTTGTGAAATTTTTAGTTATATGTTGGAATTAATTATTTGCATATATGTGTAACAGGATAAGTATGTTTTTGATGATGAACCGAAAGAACAATTGATGAAGTTTGTGGATGATGCATTGGAGGGAGGTTACAATCGGTGGCGTTATGAAGTATTGCAGAATGGAGCGGGATCATCCAAATAGTAGTTTAAAATTTATGTTTTGTATGACAATATTTAAATTTCAGGTTTTATTTTTATTTTTATTTTTATAATTTATGTATTTGGACTTAATTAGGTTTCAATTCCTGTTGGGTTTTTTTATTGAGACCTAATGTAAGCACCCTATCTATCCTTGGTTTATATGTGTTTTTAATCTCTAATGAATATCGTACTTATGCTGAAAATAATTGTATGGATTAAGCCATTAATTATTTGTAGAATAAATATTTAAGGTATTAACTATTTATAGAATAATATTTTAGGTATTAATTATTTATAGAATAAATATTTAAAGTATTAATTAATTTTAGAATAAATATTTAAGGTATTGAATCGTTTGTGAATATTGTTCGTAATTATGAAGTTTACGTTTATGTTTACGTAAATTTTGTAATTACAGTTATTTTATTCATCGCGCAATATATTACGCAACAACATCATGTTTGTATATGGTTCGAGATCGCACACGCCAATTTTGTAATTACAGTTATTTTATTCGTCGCGCAATTATTTATAGAACCTATCTTTTTTATGGGATACGCATTCTATGAAACTAATTTCAATGATCCAACCTCAAACTTGTTTGTATATGGTTCGAGATCGCACACGCCAAAAATCGAAAAAAACAAACATTCAAAGATTAAGTAACGGGACAAAACTTTTGGACGATTAGAAACAAAAAATCACGATTTAACAGTTATTTTAACTCCGATTTTGATGATTTTTTACAACTACACTCCTTGGCCCTATATGAATAGAATGAATGAATTCGATCTTCAATTTAAACTATGTACACTAGTGGATACCACAAAATCTTATGTTATACTTAATGAAAGTATAAATAAACTCTAACTGTTAATGGATCTATCTTTTTGATGGGATACGCATTCTACGAAACTAATTTCAACGATCCAACCGTCAAACTTGTTTGTGTATGGTTCGAGATCGTACACGCCAAAAATTGCAAAAAACAAACATTCAGAGATCAAGTAACGGGACAAAACTTTTGGACAGTTAGAAACGAAAAATCACGATTTAAAGGTTATCTTAAATTTATGAGGGAATATTGCGCGACGAATAAATGCACATAGTATATTTGCTCGACGAAATATTGTATTTGTCGTGCAAGTGTCTGAAATTTCAATTAAGGCGTTTTTTTTACGAAAAATTTTAAAAAACTTGCGCAACGATTTTTTGCCTTGCGAGACAAAGCCTATGTCGCGTAAGATTCTATATTTTAACCCCATATGTCCTTCTTCCCCTCACTTCCCTCTTCTTCCTTTTTCCTTGGGCAATACCGTCTCTCTCATTCCTCTGTATCTCTATCTGTCTCTCTATCCCTCTCTCCGGCCGTAGCGACTTCATCTCGAAGAGGTAATTTCCTCTTCAGTTTTTATTTTCAATTTTCTTTATTTACAAATTGGGGGTTAGAATTAGGGTTTTTTTGGTTTTTTTTTCTTTTTCAAATTGGGGGTAAGAATTAGGGCAGTCGTGTTAGATTTAGGGTTCGTAAATTGCGGGTTACATTTAGGTCCTTAAATTAGAGTTTTTAGTGTTCTTAATTGGGGTTAGACTTAGGTCTTAAATTAGGGGAATGATTTTGTGTAGTGAGGTTAGATTAGGCTTTCTTAAATTGGGGGTTAGATTTAGGGTGCTTCACTGGGGGTTAGATTAGGGTTCTTAAATTAGGGGTTTTTAATTTCAAGTACAGGGTTCGAATTAAGGCCTTGTCTTGCTCTTGATTGAATTTTTCTTATTACCATGCAAAGTGATTCAGTGTGTTGAGAAATAATGGAACTAAATCAACTTACTACTATCTTTAGCTTTGTTCCTTGGTTTTCCGAGTGGGGTTTTTGCTACTTTGTTGTTGGATTTTGGATTTTTTCTTGTTAAATTGTTGCACATTTGTAAATGATTGTAAACAAGATGAGGTTTGAGAAGCCAATGTTCTTTCCTACAGATACGATTAGTTTCAATAAAGTATTTGTCTTGCAGTATTGCTAATTTGGAAGTTTTGCATTTTTTTTTTTTTTTGGATTTCCTTCATGTTGAAGTTTATTTGGAATTCAAAATTTTCTGTGGTTAAAAATTAAGTGGCACTCAAAATGTTCTATCTAAGATGGGATCCTTGGCCTTTGTTGATTTGTGGAATATTTTGAACCATCAAGTTGTTTTTTCGAAGATTCAACCATCTCCCTTCTTTTTCTCAATGTAATTAAAAGGTTGCCGGTTTAGGTTGTGCTTCAATCTCATTTCCCATGTATGCTTTGTTGGTTGAATTTGGATATATTTGAGAAATAAAGGGAGACAGAGTTGGATGGCATTTCTTGTTTTTCTCTTTTGATGTATGCATTGTACGTGCTCTACAGAAACCTCTGCGTAGGTCTGTATGACTGTAAACTTGAATTTTCGACGTGTAATTTTGTATCCTAAACAATTTTGGTTAGTGTTCACATTGCACTTGGGGCATACTTATAATATAAGTACATGATCAACATCCTTACGTGCTAATTAAGTAAATACTAAGAACTAAATGGATGCCTTAATGACTTATCCTAAGCTGCTCTTCTCCCTTACTATTCTTACTCTTTTGCTGTCCATTTCTCCTCTGTCTTGCTCTTTTGTTGAAGACGATCATGGCATTGATTTGCTGATATGTCTATTTATATCCAATAGTCATATGATTTCTATATGTAATGTGGATGTTTAAAGAAAGTGAGAATCACTTTATACGGTCCATTTTCTCATTACTACCTGTGAAACTATTAAGTAATTATGTTGCTTAATACATACACACACAACACACACACATACACACACAGAGTACATGGAAAATTAGCATACATCAACACACACACACCCAAAATCAACATATATACATGGACACACACACGAACAGTATATACACACACCCACACATACAAAGCACGTACATACAGACGGACGCATACACTCATAAGCTATGATTTTGCCTCCAACTACTCCTTTATGCTAGTTTCTTCTTTTAAGTTATAATTGATGGGTCTATATCCTATCTGAATTGATTAGTTTGTGTATAGTATATCAGTTTTAAGTTTTGTTTCTGCCAAACTTGAATTGGGTTTAAAATTAGGGTTTTTAAATTTCGTTTTAAATTTAAGTTCAAATTATTAGCATGTGTACGGTAAGTTAAATCTTTGTGTACGAAACAAATTGATTTCCAATTTTGTAGATGCCACACCTCTTTAGAACCTAGAGGGTGATGACTTCTACACCTAGTTTGACAGCTACACCTACTACTGCCGCCACTGCTCCGGCGGAAATGGTGTTGGAAAATATTAGTATTTAGGTTTATTTTAGTATTTGAGTTTTGCTTGTTAGTTTAAGATTTGGGCCTAACCCATCTGAGTTAGGGTTTCTTAGGTTTAAATCTCTATAAATATTGCTTGTAATTTAGTTTGTGAAGTAAGTCAATCACAATGTAGCCTCTTAGGGTTTTGTAGCCGTTTCAGCATTCTCGTTCTTTTAATAATATTCTTTCTATTTTGTTAGTCTTGTTCGTTGCGCACTCTGATATTCAACTTGGTATCAGAGCGGGTTTGATCCTTAGGGTTCAATCCGTTCTCGTTGGTATCAATTTGTTTGCCTTTGTCGTCGTTCGTTCTTGTCTTGTACTCCTGCTTAAGAAACTGCACCTGACTTGCATCACACAACGTTTCTGCATATGGACCCTTGAACCACCATTTGCATCTGCACACACCCACTGCTGCAATTTATTTGTCCACTCCACCACCCATTGAATCCGCTGCTTCCTTGCATATTCGAATCCCTCCAGCCCCACTGCTGCATCACCACATCCAGGCCTGCCTGGACCACTCCTGCACCAGTACAAGATCCGCTGTATCTGCACCAGTTCAACTCACCACCACCATCTACATGAACCAGATGTTGCACCCTTGAAAGCTACTGTTTGTTTGTACAGAAGATGATGGAAGAAGAATACAGGAAGAAGGATACAGAAAAAAAAAAAAGAAAAAAAAAAGAAGACGTGTTGTTTGAAGGAAAAAAGAATAGGGAAAAAAAAGGAGAAAAAAGGTAGAAAAGAATAAAGACAAAAAACGTTGGTTTTTTGTTTGAAGGCCCATACGGGCAGAAAGAAATATGGTCTATTTGGTTGGATTTTTTTTATTGTTTGTTTAGAAGTCAGTATTGGTATTGGTATCGTTATTGGTATCGGTATTGGTATTGGTATCGGCATTGACATCGGCATCGTCATCGGTATTGGCATCGGCATCGGTATTGGCATTGAAATTTGAAGGCTTGCATCCACATCTGCTTGTTGGTAAACTCATGTCCTGTACTGCCATGAGTTTGACGGGAGGGGGGGTGTTGGAAAATATTAGTATTTAGGTTTATTTTAGTATTTGGGTTTTGCTTGTTAGTTTAGGATTTGGGCCTAACCCATCTGAATTTGGGTTTCTTAGGTTTAATTCTCTATAAATATTGCTTATAATTTAGTTTGTGAAGTAAGTCAGTCACAATGTAGCCTATTAGGGTTTTGTAGCCATTTCGGCATTCTCGTTCTTTTAATAATATTTTTTCTATTTGGTTAGTCTTGTTCGTTGTACACTCTGATATTCAACTGATGGACCATAGGCCGGTCAATCCAGTTGACCCAGTTGGTCTTCCAGTCCCACAGGCATAGGCATCATCGACTTCTTCAGTGGCGTTGCCTGTTAGCGCCCGACATACTCACCGGCGCCCCCGCACTACAGACCAAATGTAGCCATCGGGATCCACAACTGATGGCCCGGGTACATGACAAGGTATACAATCCTAATTTACTCCCTCATTCCCATGTTAACTGAGTTGTTATTTTAGGTTCAATTTGTTATGTCATGTCATGTAAGGATTAAAAAGTTGTAATCATTCCGAACCTTTTATTAAACTGTTGTCATCATTGTGTTGGATACGTATATTGTTTATGTTATTTTCAGGGTTTTGGGAAATATTTTAATTATAGGGGAGGTTATGCCGAAATTTTAGTAGGATTTGTTATTAGTTTTAGGTTAATGATTTTTTTTTTCATATTTTTGCAACGAAGAAAAACACTTGGGGACCTTGTCAGCAATTGAAGACGGCGAAGTATCCTAATCGGATACGATGAGCGACATCGAGCACCAACGGCGGAGCAACATAGTGCATTGGCCCATGACTTTGGGCATGTCGTGCGGACCTTTTGCCCTATGCGGTGGAAGTCTTGGAAGGCGATGCCAGAGGAGACGAAGAACACAAGGCGCAACCAATTGTCCGTAAGTAGCGTCGCCTTTTTAATGATTTTCATGTAAAATTTATATATTTATATTTATTATTGTCTTTTATTACTAATACTTTCAAAATATTTATTACATTGCAAACAAACTACAATTTGGAGGACATGGACGAAGACATGTTCGCGTACCTCAATCGGCTATTCTCCGAATGCTACAAGCAGTGGAAGAGTGACCTGCACCAATGTTTCCAGCAATTTGATGATCCGTAGGTCACTCTCGAGGAAGGTTGTCCGAAGGAGTTGGAGGACCGACAAGATAGACAGGTTTGGCTTTGCGGTCATTTTCAAGAGCCGGGCTATGCGGTGCGTTTTTAATTACAACTTCTTTCATTTTACTTTTTAAAATTTTTACTAATGTTTATTATATCTTTAAGTATTACAACTAATACGTTTATTTTTTGTATAACAGAAGAAGGCGAAGGCGAACAAGATCAATCGGGAGAAGAAGATTCTTCTCCACCATTCGGGTTCGAGGCCTTTCTTTGATAGGATGGAGGTGCGATGGAAGGTATATATTACATCTTTCATTTCCAATTTCAAAATGTCGCTAATAATTTTGTTTTTCTTACTAACATTTTCCTTATCTTTTTCGATTTCATGAAGGTTCAAAATTTCCAAAGATCGACGTCTTTGCTAACGTTTATGTTCAGCCTGGGAATGAGTTGACCGAGTCCATTCATGTAAGTAATTTCTTATGCATTCAACATTTATACTAATTATTTCAAATTGTTTTCTATTAATAATCCATGTTTTTTTTTCACAGGTGACTATGGTGGAGAAGGGTTAGTCGGTGCTTCAAGAGTTTATCTCCCAGCTTCCCTCGGACACGCCGATTAAGTCTGTGGATCCCCCTGAGGATGCAGGATTTCACATCGTCACAAAGACGTTGAACCAGACTTTTGGTCGGAGGCCAGGGACTTATTGTCGGGGGATGGGAAATGCCAGGTGGCGGGAGAGCAGAGCCTCGTCATCATCGTAGTCAAGAGGCCAGGTTACGACTTTGACACAAGAAGTCACTGGCCTGAGGAGTGAGCTGGCATCGTACAAGTCTCAAATATCGATGCTTGTACAAGCCCTCAGTTCCTCCGGAATACATCTCTCGTTTTTTCTGCACCATCGCCCTCACAACCCTTCCACACCGAGCAAGCACAGCAATCAGGCCCGTCGACCTCCGACCCCGCCCCCAACCAGCAGCAAGATCCTTCGAATGACATTCCTATAGATTTTCCCGCTTTTTTTCATAGTTTTGTTCCTGCTTTCTTTTAAAACTTTATATTTGTACTTACATTTTTATTTATATTATAAATAAAAATTATTTTTATTCATTAATTTGCTTTTTTTTTGTCATTAGTATGAAATCTTTTTTTTTTTAAATTTTCCTTTTATTGTATTTATTTATTTTTAATAAAAATTACACTTACGCGATGGTGAACAGTCGTCGTGCAAAATTAAGTGCGTCTTATAACTTCGTCAAGCATTACCATGCGCCTCTTACGTTTTTCGTCGCGCAAACTTTTTGAGATGAACTAGTCACAAAGCGTACTTGTACCCTTTTATATCGTACGACGAAAACCTTCATCTGTATAACTTTAGTGCGACGAGTAGTAAAGCGTCGCGCAAATTTTTTTTGCGTGACGAGTTTGAAATTTTCCGTCGCGCAATGTCTTTTTTCACGACCTTTGCGTGACAAAATACGCGTGACGATTTTCTGGTCGTTATAGTTTTGTGCGACCTAATAATAATTTGGGCGACAAAATCTCCCTTATCGCGCAAACTGTTTAATTTAGTAGTGAAGGCCAATATCCGGCCTGAGATGACAGGAAAATGCCTTGGATGGCCTCGACCGTTTTTATGCCTTAGACGGAAATCATTGCAGCAGGCCTGGAATCAAGCATGCAAGACTTAAACTAGGTCCAGGGAGGTTAATAGTGGCCCAATTGGATTTGGCTTTGCCAAAACTGCAAGGAGTTGGCTTCCCGGAGTTTCTTGCAACGCGTCAGGAATTGGAGACGTTAGTTTTTCGTTCTAGAAATCACAATCATAGAGAAAACCACATAGATGCCAAGAAATCAAACCAAAATGACAAGAGAAACCAATTATGATGTTTTCGAGGTTCACCTTCATCGGAATCGACGAGATTTTCACCTTCTTATGTGATAAAGCTCGTTGTTCGAAGGTTCCCATTCGAGTTTTGAGGATGTAGAGGTAAGGAATTTAGGGTGAGGGAGAAAATGTGGACAAGGGTGGTGGTGGTTTTGAGTTTGACGGGGGAATGACGGCGGTTGTAATCTGTGTTTTTCTGCGTTTGCAGAAAAGAAAGGGACGAAAATGTTGAGAGAGGAGAGTTTTAGGGTGCGTTTGTTGCACCGGAATAAATCGGATTGGACTAGTTTCAGACTGGACTGGCTTAGACTAGACTAAATTGGATTAACTTAATGAAGTGTTTGGTGTAGTGTTGGACTACAAATAAAAAAGTACTATATAATTTTTATTAAATTAAATTTCTTTTTTATCAAAATTAATTTCTTCCTACAATCCTTCTCCCAGCAAACTCTGCTCTTTCCCTTCTCGATTTCTTCGACAAGCTCCTCCACTTACCTTTTTATCTCCACAATCTCACTATCTCTTTCACTTATTTTAAAGTTATCTTAACTTTTAAAAACTAATTAATTTTCTCCTTCAATCTTATTAGCAACCAAATCGCGTGAAAAATGAACATATATCCCCAACATGTAACCAAATAATCAAATCGCATAAAATTGAACATATCTCCCCAACCTTCATCGTCAACCTCTCATTCTACTTCTTGTCAGCAACGCCCACCGAAGGTAGCATTGACAGGTCTTCCATTAACTCGTGATTTTGGCCTATAGCAATGCCGCTTCAGCTTTCCCAGGCTTGGGCCATGTAAGAGTAAGCACCGCCAACGAGCTAGCCATAGTGATGGCGTAACAGAAGAAGATTGCAGAGTTGATGTCCTAGTGTAGCAAGCATCAACCTCATATTCCATTTTAGTCCCGCTTAATATTAAGCGAAAGCTCCGAACTAAATAACGAGCTTTAACGAAGGGCATATGGACTGTTAGTGGGAGAGAGTCTTGTTTATTCTAGTCCAGAAACATACCAAACGTAGGATTATAGTCCTACTTAAGCTAGTTTAGCCAGTCCCTCATGAGAAGGTGTAACAAACGCACTCTTAGAGGTTTTAGAGAGAAATGAGAGTGATAGAGAGTGAAAGGGATGGGTACACAAGGAAGACAAACCAAGGGAGTAAGTCCTCGTGGGTGGGTCCAACAAGAAAATAATGTTAAAATAATTCATATGGCAAATGATATATTTTCACAAAGGGTAATGCTAGGGAGACCAAGATCTGTAAACCAAATGATATGGTTGTTGATAATTAGATTATTACTAACGTGCTTATTTTCTATTGGTGACACATCATTTGGTTTGCAAATTTGGTCTCCATATCATTATCCTTTTGTAGACATCGAAATTTCGGTAAATAAATGTTGACCGATAAATCAAAGTTTCAACGCTTATGTATTACATAAATTTTACACGTAGCGTGTGTCTAAACAAAAAATCGAAATAAATTAGAAAAGTCATCAAACAGGACACGTGTCAACACCTGGCAGAAACGACTTATTTCATCTGGAATATTATATTCAAAATTAGGCCTTGGAAATTTCTATAAATAGAAGGCTAATTCACTCATTTTGAGGGAACCAAAATCATTAGGCAAAACTCTTGAAGCTCTGAAGCTTTGAAACTCCGAAGCTCTCAAGCATCCAGGTTCCCGAAGAATCAAGAAAGCGTTATTCGTTCATCGTTCATCCTAAGATCAAGCCCCAACGGCCCTTTGGATCAACAATCATCCACCAATTCAAGATCAAGCCCCGACGGCCCTTGAAGAAAGTGTTCTTCGTTCTTCGTTCATCGTTCATCCAAGATCAAGCCCCAACGGCCCTTTGGATCAACAATCATCCACCAATTCAAGATCAAGCCCCGACGGCCCTTGAAGAAAGTGTTCTTCGTTCTTCGTTCTTCGTTCATCGCTATTTCAAGATCAAGCCCCGACGACCCTTGAAGAAACCACCATCGTTCATCATCCGTTCATCCAAGATCAAGCCCCAACGGCCCTTTGGATCAACAAACGTCGACAAACCCACACACATCCAACCGTTCTTCAAGATTAAGCCCAAAAGCCCCTGAAGATCTGTTCATCACTGTTTCTTCAAGATTAAGCCGAAAAGCCCTTGAAGATCCGTTCATCACCGTTACTCAAGATCAAGCCCCAACGGCTCCTTGAAGATCCGCTCAAATCCACATTCAAAGATCAAGCCCACGGCCCCTTGAAGAAACTTCCAACAGTTCATCCAAGATCAAGCCTCAACGGCCCTTGGATCAATCACACATCCACAAATACACACCTTACGGAGATCGAATCAGAGGATCAAATTAGAGAGAGATTGTAACTCAGAATTTTCAAATACAAATATTTGTTTGTGCACGTTGTTCTTGTCTCTTTCGTTTCAGGAATTTTCCGTGTTCACAAATTGGCACGCCCAGTGGGACCATCTCTGCATCTCATCTCTTTCTCCGTTCAAGAAATTCAAGCGCACTTCCAAAATAAATGGCATCAAGGAAGGCTCAAACTGTTCCCGCAACCGGCGCAAAGAACAAAAGCGTCATCGTCGCAATTGGTGTCACTTTGGGCATCACGACTCGAAGCATGGCAAGAGCTACTTCTGCCGCCTCTTTTACCTCTGCATCAACTCTGCCAAGGGAACAAAAGCACCCAAGGCACGAGCCTTTGATCACCTTAGCCTCACTAAGGGCACCAAGGGGGGAAAGCCTAAGGAAATACTCCGAATCCATACTCTCCGATGCCGATTCAAGCGACAGTTTAGCCATGCAAGTCATGACCATTGGAGCAACTTCAATCGATGAGCAGCTGGCTCAAATGAATGAAGCAATCGCAAGGCTAACCCGAACTGTGGAAGAAAAAGACTTGCAAATTACAGCACTAGTCAACCGCCTGGAGGCGCAGGACGGCGATAAACCCGACCCAAAGGATGATCCACTAAAGGGAGGAGCTGGCGGAGACGAAGAACCCCCGGTGAAGAAAATCGATGGGAAGCCGGAGCCAGACCAAGCAGCGGCACTCATGGGATCTCTTTCTATCCAGCAGCTGCAGAAGATGATCACCAACACCATCAAGGCACAGTACGAAGGGAGCTCACATACCTCATTGTTCTACTCGAAGCCCTATTCCAAGAAGATTGATGCCCTAAGGATGCCAATGGGTTATCAACCACCAAAGTTCATGCAGTTTGATGGAAAAGAAAACCCAAAGCAGCACGTTGCACATTTCGTCGAAACTTGCAACAACGCGGGGACGGAGGGAGACTACCTCACCAAGCAGTTTGTGCGCTCGCTGAAAGGAAATGCCTTTGAGTGGTACACGGACCTAGAGCCTGAGTCCATCAACAGCTGGGAGCAATTAGAGCGGGAATTCCTCAACCGCTTCTACAGCACCCGCCGCACTGTGAGCATGCTAGAGCTAACGAGCACAAAGCAATGGAAGGACGAGCCAGTCATTGACTACATCAACAGATGGCGCACTCTAAGCCTCGACTGTAAAGACAGGCTCTCGGAAACCTCTTCAATCGAGATGTGCATCCAAGGCATGCAATGGGGTTTGCAATACATCTTCCAAGGCATTAAACCACGGACTTTCGAGGAATTGGCCACTCGCGCCCATGACATGGAGTTGAGCATCGCCCATCATGGGAAGAAAGAACCGATCGCCGACTACAAGAACGACAAAGTTCTTGGGCCAAAGTTGGAGAAGACTGCGTGGAAACCCACCAAGGAAGCAATGACGGTTAACACAGCTCCCGTCAAAATCCCTACACGAGGCAAGGCGATTCAAACCGAAGCTTTTCATGATCAAGAGATGCGTAGACGCACTTTGAAGGAGCTTGAGGAGATGACTTATCCATTCCCCGACTCTGATGTGGTTGCCATGTTAGAAGACTTGCTGAAAAGAAGGTGATTAGTTTGCCTGAGTGCAAACGGCCAGAAGAGATGAATCGCACTGACAGTCCAAGGTACTGTAAATTCCACCGCTTCATCAGTCATCCGACAGAAAAATGTTTCGTGCTGAAAGATCTTATCATGAAGCTGGCTCAGAAAGGAATCATCGAGCTAGATCTTGACGATGTGGTGAAGTCAAACTATACCACCTTCACTTCTGGCTCTTCCAACT